CCCACCCCCACCGCCACCCGGCCAGTCCCCCCACGCCCTGCTGGGTTCTGTTGCCATGGAAACCTGCTGAGCCCCCCCCCCTCCATTGCCAGCATCAGGGGAGGCGGCTGGCTCCCTCCCCCTGGCGGCCCTTTCCTTTCCCTCCCTGGCCCTTCCTTCCCTCCTTCCGTGGGGATTGGGAGGCAGTCAAGGAAGGGTCTCTGGGAAGGAGCCTCGGGAGCGGGGAATGTGTGGAAGGGGCGGGGAAAGCCTCTCCTCCTGGCAGCTTCAGGGTTTCTGACCTCCCTTCCGCCATGCTGGGCAGACAGCAGAGCAACCCCCCCACCCACCTCCCTGCCCTGAGTCCCCGCCCCAGTCCCTCCTTTGGCTTCGTCCAGGTGAAAACGGGTCACGGACTCCCTTCTCCACCTCCGTCCCCCTGGTATTAATTCTGCCTGGGGACAGCCAGAGCCATGAACTCTGTGCTGGTATCAGAGGCTTTTCATGGTTGTGGTGGCTGATGGTGTAATCTAACTTGCTTTCACTCTCTCCTCCCCTTCCTGCCCCACAACCTAGTCCTTCTGAGGCTGGATCCACGGACGGTCGCTTACCATGTCGGGGCCGAATCTGTGTCTCGGGTAAGGAGGGGGCTGGTCCCCAGGGGTCAAGCCTGGCCGAGCTTTGCTCCCCCCATGCAGGCCAGCCCCTCGGTGGGCAAGAAAAGGAACGGGAGGGTCTTGTCCCAGTCACTGACCTCTCCATGGGACGTGGTATTTTGCAGGCCGCACACGCCTTCCCAGCCTCAGAGAGCGAATTAGTTAAGAGAACAAATCCTGTTTTAATTCACCTTTTGGGCTTGGAAAGAAGAGGATCCTGACAGTCGAATGAGAGTCTCATTAGCATTCCTATTGGCTAATCAGGAAAAGTTTGCTAGGCATAACAGAAGAATCTCACTGAAGGAGGAAGGAGCCCCCCCACTGCCCCAGCTTCATTTCCCCTCATCTGGGCTAAGGAAGCCGGGCAAAGCTTCGCCTCCTGCCCCAGTTCCCGCCTGCACCGCAGGTGGAGCCGACCCTTCAGGCAGCCTTTGAAACCAGCAGGGCCCCCCTGGCGTTTTTGTAACCGTCTTCCAGTCAAGGGATGGCAACTGGCGTCTTCTCCAGCAGAGATGCTGGTTTTCCCCCAGTTAATCCCACCCTTCCGTTCCGGCTCCATCTCGCCCAGCCAGGCTCAGCTTCCGGTGCCTTCAACCTGTGGGGCCAGGACAGGGGGCAGGCGAGGCTTCCCCCAGCCCAAAGCGCAGCCTGTGCACAGCCAGGACTGGCGTGGGGCAGCAGCCCCCCAGGCCCTGCTGAAGAGCTCCCCGACCTGGCCTCACCCGAGGGATCGGTTGCCCGGCTTCTGCTCAGGCTAGGGATCTGCTCCCTACCTTGCTCCCAGGGAAGCGCAGAGGTCCCTTGGAGGGGGCTGAGCTGAAGGTGGGCAATTTCACCACAGCCATCCCACTGGAGGCCACTCGGGAGAGAAGCTTTCCCCCCAAAGCAGGCAGGCAGAGCAGAAGCCGAGCGAGCCGGTCGCGGCCTACGAGGCCACCGCGCTGCATTTAGTTTCCCTCAAAGGCGGGTTTGGTGGCCGTAAGCGAGCCACGCATCATCGGTGGCCTTAATGCCACGTGTGGCCCTAGAGATCGTGGTCTGCAGCTCTCTTCCCTTTTTTCCAGATCTCCGGATCCCCCTGATGTGGAAGGACACGGAATACTTCAAGAACAAGGGGGGTAAGTCCCCTCGCTGGTGCTCCCCACATGGTCCGTCTCCTCCCCCCTTCCGTTCCCTCCCCAACTGAACCCAGCAGCTGCCCACAGACTTCCCTCAGGGCTCTGCTAGCTCGGAAGGAGCTTGTGCACCAGAGACGAATTCCTTTGTGTGTCAAATCACACTTTGTGATTAGACAAGCATTTGATTCAAAGCTGCCACGAGGCTGAGTTTAGCTGGAATCTCCTTTGAGAAAGAAAGGACGGCCCTATTTGACCGATGTCTGTGATGCCGCAGATGCCCGGCCGGCCTGCTCTGCCCGCTGTCTGACTTGGCATGGCGTTTGAACAGAAGAGGGTGCGCAGAAGTGACCCTTCCCAGCCCAGGCTCCCCTCAGGTGGTCTTGGCTCCCGTCATTCCAAGGAGACGGCTGTGTGTGTGAATTACGGTTGAGGAGGCTGTGGGAGCTGATCTCAGGGTCTCCATGGGGTCCGGCTCCTTCTGAAGGGCTCGGTGCCCTTGTGGGTCCCATTGCGGAGGGGCCCGGGAATGGGCCTTTTCCCCCACGGACCCCTCCCATGCCTGGGACAGCTGCTTCCTGGCGGGGGGGGGGGGTGGTTTGCAGGGCAGAGAAAAGGCGGCTGTAGAGAGTCCACTTTGTGCAGGTTGTTTTGGCCCCCTGGTGGATGGAAGTGTTAATGCGGCTTTTGCTTTTCCTGCATTTTTTCTTCTATGCCGCTGGCTCAGTTGGAATGCCGCTGAATAGGAGTGGAGAGGGAGGGGATGGGTGCAGCACGGGAAAAACACGTGTGTGTGTGTGTGTGTGTGTGTGTGTGTGTGTATTGCAGCTGGGGCACCAAATGCCCCATTTCCTCCTTTTCCCCCAGATTTGCATCGCTGCGCGGTGTTCTGCCTGCTGCAAATCGGCACAGAAATCTATGACACGGAGATGGTGCTGGTGGACCGGACACTGGCTGACATCTGCTTTGAGACCTCGGTGCTCTTGTGAGCCTCGCCTCCCTGGCTGACCACTCACTGACAATCCCGCCTCAGTCCCAGGCAGGGAAGGGGAGGAGGGGGCCCACTCGACTCCAGATCCGATGGGTCCCCAGCACTTTGCCTTTCGGGTGGAATTGGGCGTTTCGGGGCCTGGTGGGAATGGCAAAGTCGGTGCCCCAGGGAGGGTCAGGAAGAAACCTGAAGGCCCCTGGAAGGTCGCATTGGCGCTTCTGGCCGGCCAGCTGGGATCCTGGCTGTGCTCAGAGCCTGTGTGGGGCATCTCCTCCTCCTCTCTCCCCAGCACTGAGGCTGCTCCAGGCTTTGAGCTGAAGATTGAGCTGTACAGTGCCGCCCTTGAGGAGGACTCGGCCCTTGGCGCCACCCCCAAGAAGCTCGCCAGCCGCCTGAGCAGCTCCCTGGGGCGGTCCTCGGGGAAGCAGATGCGGGCTGCCCTGGATGGGAGCAGCTCAGGCAGCAACGGGGGGTGCAGTCCGCTCTTGCTACCCCCAGCCCCCAGCACAGCGTGAGTACCCTCCTCACCTACCTGGGGGAGCCTGCAGCCCCCCGTCCCCCCAGCTGCCTCACCAGGAGGGCACCCCTTCTTTTTCAGGGGGCCCAAGTATCAACTGCTGGCCTGTGCCCACCTCGGCCTTCCGCAAGTCCAGGACGCCTTTCGCACCCATGACCTGCTCATCACTGGCAACGGTAGGCCCAGAAGATGGCTGCGGGCATCCCCGGCACCTGGTGCCGGGGCCCTTCCAGGGCGACTGGGGGTCTTGGGAGGCTGAGGAGCAGCTGCTCACCTGCTTGAGCCAGTGGCTGGAGACCTTTTACTGAACCTGCAGTCCGGCCCCCGCCTGACGCCTCCTTCTCCCCCAGAGGAGAGCTCCTTCTGGCTGCCCCTCTACGGCAGCCTCTGCTGTCGCGTGGTGGCCCAGCCCAGCTGCATGGTGGAGCAGGTGATGGCGGGCTTCCTGAAAGTGCAGGTAAGGAAGGGAAGCATCCCCCCCCAATCCTGGGGGACACGCGGTGCCCCCCACCCTACGCCCGAGCCGAGCAGGGTGCTGGGAGGGAGGTTTTGGCCTTGGGGGAAAGGAGAAGGGATGCCAAGGCAGCTGTCGCCTGTCTGTGCAGCAGGGGGAGCAGCCGGACTGGCCGAGGCTTTTCTGCGTCCTGCGTGGCACCAACCTTCTCTGCTACCGGCGCCCTCAGGATGCGGAGGGCCAGGAAGAGGCTGCCTTCACCATTGCCATCAACAAGGTTCGGCTGGGGTGCTGGGACCCCATGGTTCATGGGCAGCCCTGCACCGCTCCTCTGGGCACACACGCAAATAAGCCCCCAGGCCCTTTGCTGTCCACTGTCCATGTGGGTCAGCTGAGCAAACCTTCCCAGACTGCCCCATCCCTCGCCCGCCCCCATGCCACCTCTTTGCTGGCAGGCTGGGACCCTCCCTCGCCAGGTTTCAGATCAAGGAAAACACCCTGGCTATTAATCTCCCCCACTCAGAACCTCCTTCCAAAGCCTTCCCCATTCCTGGGCTTCCCTTCCTTCCTGACGCCCTGGGAGAAGGGAGGCCATTTCCCATCGCTTTGGGCCCCTTCCTGCCTCTGGCCCAGCCCACGGCCCAGGGCATCTGCCCCACAGCCAGGGTGAGCCCCAGGCCTCTTTCCCTGGGCAGGAGACGCGCATCCGGGCCAGCGAGAAGAGCCCCAGGGGCCCCGTCCGCTGCATGTCAGTCACTAACCACTACGGAGGTGAGGAAGTGACCCACACGCTGCAGGCAGAGTCCCCCGCGGAGGCCCAGCGCTGGATGGAAGTCTTCTGGCAGCACTTCTACGACATGAGTGAGTGGAGGAGGGGTGGGGGTGGGGGTAAAGGGACCAGGTCTCTCTGGACGCAACCCTGAGTCCGAGGATGGGGCAGCCGTCCAAAGACACAGGGGGGCCTGGTGTCTGGGGGGCATCAGGGCACAACCTTCACCTCTGAGCTGGGTCTGGGGCACTCTCCACTGCAGCCAAGAACACTGGGGGGGCTCCAAGGCCAGACTTCCTATGATGTCATAGGACACATCCCCCCCAAGCCAGGTGCCCCCCCCTTTACTTCTCCGTGCCCCCCCCCCAGGCCAATGGAAGCACTGCTGCGATGAAGTGATGACGGTGGAGGTGCCACCTCCGCGCCGGCCTCCGACGCTGCTGCCCAAACAGGGATCCCTGTATCACGAGATGGGTGAGGCTGACCAGGGCCAGCATCCCTTGGGCAGAAGTGTGGGCATTGAGGGCCACGCGTGCCTCCCGGATCTGGAGGGGAGGGTCTCTGTCTTTTCTGCCCCCTTTTCCAGCTCCACCCTCTAGGGTCTCTCTTGCCTCCCATCCAGTGTGTGTCTGTAACTCTCTGCTCTCCTCCTGCTCTCCTCTCTCTGCATGTCCCTCCTGTCTGTCTGTCCTGCCCCAGCTCTCCCTGGCGCTGGGTGGCCACCCTCCAACTGCGAGGGGCTTCTGTTGCAGGACAACGCTGTCTCTGCAGAGATTC